CCTTGAAAAACTGACCTTAGTTTATGAGTCTTACCCACATATAACCACCATCTTCTTTATCAGTTAAAATTCAAAGATAACCTGACTTAATGTCTAGATTGTAATGATAAAATCTGTTGGGTATAGCAATTCATCAGTCTTAAAAAAAATTATACTAAAGTTAACATAACTTATCTTAAAAACAAAGAGGTTATCAGGTGGAAGATGCAGCATAATTCCTTTAGTGTTAAAAATTAATGCTTACTAAATGCCCAAAGCATATGAGACACAGTGCAGAATACAATGATGGAGACCTGCCCAACAGCTTAAATCCAACTGACAAAGAACCAGAGGCAAAATTGAAAGATGTAGATCAGTTTAATTATAATATTTCTCAGCTTTGTGTTGCTACCACTGTAACTGTTCTCCTAAATCAAACTGGCAGTGATCCTTAGTAATTCTAAAAATACATCATATTCCTAAGGAACAGACTCTGAATTTGATGCAGAGGGAAAGGAGGAACTTGAAGGACATGCAATTTTTTACACTATATAGAGCACTGGACAACTTCCATTTTTGAATGTAAATCTACAGGAAATCAATAGAAGCAGCAAAGAGGTCACTCAACAAAATGCTGAGTAATAAGGCAGTTCATCTTAAGTATCAATCAGACTCAGAAATGATGTTGTAAGAGTGCCCCTGTATGTATTCCACACAAAGAATTTAAAATTTATCAGTCCTTTCTAGAGATTCCAATGAAGACAGATAAAATAAAACATTTTAAAAGCAACTTTCTTTAGTCTGCTTGCACTTTTTGACAGTGACATAGAAATAATGAACGGTGTCACATAAGCCGAGATTAGTGTTACATTTATTTAAAGTATTTTTTATCAACTGAATTTATATAGTGATGGCAAAACAAAAGCAAGGGCACGGGATTGTTACACCTACCTTAAATGTTACTGAGGATTAGGGAAAGTTAAACAGCCATTTTTCTAGCCAATGCTAAATTTGCCAGTATGTATCTTTAAAAATCTTAATCAAGGATAAGCACACAAAGTAGTCTTCACACCATATCTGGCTCACAAATTATACTTTATCGTCCTTTACTCAAAATACTGAAGTTATTTGAGAAACAAAAACACTAACCACTGTCATGGAAGGAATTATGTGCACCACCATCCCAAAACTGTATGAACTTGGTTCCGCCATGATTCCCTGGTTGAGCAGTTATTTGTAATGATAATTATATTATGGCAGTTATTTAATGATTCCCCCCACACCCATGGTGTGGTCTGATGTAATAAACCAAAAAAAGGCTTAAGGGTAGGAGAAGGACTGACTGCCACCAAGAAAGAAGAACTAGGAGTAGAGAGTGTGTTTTCGATCTGGAGTCCCTGTATTGCAAAGCTCCTTACATCCAGGGGAAGACTGACATTCAGACACATGGAGATTTATTTTCCAAGCAATGCCATGCCTACAGATGTTGACAGGAGACCAGAACCTTTCCCCAGAGCACACACAGAGAAAATCCTTCCCCTACAGCTCGCATTCTGAACTTAGACATGTAGACTTTAAAGTGTGAGAGGGTTTATCTGTTAAAGTCATCTTAACTTTCAAGAGTCAGGTTCTAAGCAACTGCAATCAATTGATTATCAAAACACTCAAGTTTCTTAACATAAAAAATGCCTAATCTATAATAATTTCTAAAATTTCCATTTTTGTAGGAAGCAGCAATCATTTTACAAAGCAATATATTCTTCCTTGACTTTTAGCTAAGGGTTAAGCATAATCCAAGAATGCTTGAATGCAGAAGAGAAATTTCACCTTAAAAATGTCATAATCTAAGGATCCAAGTTACACAGGCGTCAAAGCTATGACAAGTGCTTATTTATAAGATCTCAGGAACAATTCATTGAGACGGGCACATGAAGTAATAATAAGGAGAAGAACCAAAACAAAACAAAACTCACTGCCACAGAGTCCATGCCAGCTCATGGTGATCCCATAGGACAGGGCAGAACTGCCCGACTGCCACTGTGAGTTTCTGAGACAGGTAAGTTGTTTGGGGAGTAGAAAGCCCTGTCTTTCTCCTGGGAAGCGGCTGACAGTTTTGAACTCGGGACCCAGCGAATCTGCAACCCAAGTGTAACCACTAGGCCACCAGGGCTCCTTACATGAAAAAGAGTTGGGATCAAATGCAATAGGGGAGATAATCCACTTTATTTCATAAAAGTGTATCTTCAACACTTTCTGAAATATTAATTTGAAGTAAATGTTTTGATTTTAAAATAACTGAGTTAAAACCCTGAATTGTGTTCTCATTCTAATCATTAGTTTAAACTTATATAATATACACCCCTTCATTGCAAAATTAAGAATAACTTTGCTCCCTGCAATTTTCAAATGAGCTCTAGTCCATTAACATTAAAATGGTTGGAAAGATCTGTGGTGGAACTAAAGGAAATACTCACTTTACTCCTAGTAATAAATGAAGATATTAAAATTTCATTCAGCATAAGATATTAAATATTTAAAGGATTATGTTATAAATGACAAAATGAGCAACTGTAGTTTCCTAATAACCTAATTCTATTTAAGTTATGAAAAAGGTCTAATGCCAACTAAACAAGATACAGGAGGGGGCTTCAAAAATAGGAAAAATTCTATTGTCACTTAAATACATTTTCCACTAATCTTTTGCTCCCTCATATAACCGTAACAAGAAAGGGAAGAATGTTTAGAATGCACATCATTTCACAATATGATTTAGTATTAACACTTCTAGGACTTAGGTAAAGAACGAATTGGTTTTTGTAACTAAAAACTTTGGTCTACTGATCTTAGCACTTTAAGGTACAATACAAAAGCATTTTGCTTTGGCAAGTCTCCTATGGCCTAGTAATTTGACTTAAGGAAGCAATAAAGTTTCAAAAATTTTGAAAAACAAGGAAATAAACTTTTAGTCTAGAAGTGAACGTTGCTAAGAATTTCTCAGTACTTGATTACTTATAATCACTAACCTTCAACATGTTTTACTCTCAGCTACTGGTTAAAGAGTAGAGAGAGCAAGAAGAAACAAGTGTGTTTTGGAAAAAAACCCAGGTTTTTCTAATAGCTCCAAATACAATCCAGAATCACTTCTGTACATGATTGTTAACACTAAAAAAAAATTTTTTAATCCTGGATTCTATTTGCTCAACTAAATGTCAATATTGATACAAATTTCCTAATCATCCAATCATTTCCTGTGCCTCCAAAAGGGACAAAATTTGAAAATGAAGCATTAAAAAAAATTCCATTTACCTTGGAAGTCACAAATATTGAGTTGAACAACGTCTTAAAAATTACGTAGTGTGAATATTCTGGTGCCTAGATCACTAACTAGGGTGGTAGAATTGGCACTTCACTTTCCCCATGTTAAGAAATCACTGCAATAAGAAGCTTAAGCCTAGTGAGAAGTCTTACTTTCTGGAAATCAAGCTATAGGGCTTTCTGTGTCAATGTTGCAATACTCTCAACAAGTCAATTAGCAAATCTCAACCTTTGACTACCATTTCTCAGAGCCTGATTATGGATTATCATAAAGACAATACGAAGTGCACGAACTTGGTGTTTTGGCTTTTTTCCTGCATCATTTCTAATTTTCATATCTTACAAGATAGGCAGAATTTTTACGTATTTTTAAAATGAAGTATTTTTTCTAAGCAAACAGAACTTGCTTGTGCCTGAGTTCTGCGAGAGTCCACAATAAAGCATGGCCCTTACATATCACCACTTTGCCCATGTCATGAAATGATGTGTGAACCTCATCCTTTCAAAAATAAGTACTACATTTACAAGAATATTAAGGAAACAAATGAAAATATTTACTGTGATAGTTTCTTTAGTTGTTCAACTAAAAAGAACTTTAGTAAATATTTACAATGAAGTTATGCGATAGATACTGGTCATACTACTGATATCAACATAGAGGCACCAGACGATTTTTAATTGATATCGATCCTGCTTTTAGGCGTAATAATGTAATTCAAGCTTGCAAATAGGCACCTTAGTTCCGACTGCAGTAGTTGAAAACAAAATTACTCTGAAAGCCCCATTAAGTCACAAACATTAACTTTAACAAAACTAGGGGGAAAGTGACAAGATCTGATAGAGCAGAAGAAATCAAGAAACCTATGTACCTGTCCTTGCCATCTCAACTTGATAAACAACAACAAAAACCTCAGATATGCAAGAAAAGACTCCGGGATGTTTTCCCAATACAAGGTTCTCCGTGCTGCCTAAAACTACCTTAATCCGCCCTCTACCCCCACGTCCCTCTGAAAGCAAGCCCCACTGTCGATTAAAGGATAAAAGGTGAGCAACTTCACGGGGACTTTTTGAGAAATTTTAAAATCTAGAAGGGGGGGTAGAATCGCGACAAATGTGGAACACAATTATTCATAAACGCAACCTAGAACCCAAACCAGAACTGAAGTTCCAGGTTGCATATTACCTAAATCCTATAACTGAAAACTTCGAATTCACTCAAAATAAAAGCTACTGTGCATACTTCAGTTATAAATAAATCCTAGTACTTAGCCTGGTAATCTATGTGGCAACGTCTTTACATAAATAGCATCAATGCCTCTATGACTCTGAACCCACCTCTGTGTCCGGGAAAACGTCCCTCCGACCACGTCAACTCGGTTGGGGCTACATCTGGCTGCAGCCTGTCCGCCTCGGCTCCCTCCACGGAGCCACCCAAGCGCCCATTAAAGAAGCGTTCTGCACCTGACCCCCTCTCTGCATTAAACATTAATCCTGCGTCTAACCGTGAAAATCGTGAGAAGGACCTAGAATCCAAACTGCCACCTTCCGAGAAGTCGCCGAAAAAGGCCAACCACGAAACGGGGGGCGAGGGGGCAGGTGTGGGGGAGGCGGGCCGCGCCTGTCACCCTCGAGCCAGCCGGGGACGGAGCGGCGCCGGCGGCCGGACCTCGGCTCCCGGGCAGCGCCAGCCACCTCGCCGCGCTCACCTCTATCTCGCGGATGTTGTTGGAAGTGACGAAGATGCCGATGCCAATTGGGATGAAGATGAGGCCGATGATAAAGAAGGTAGGTAGCACCGTGCCCGCCGTGAGGATGGGTTGCCAGGCGGGCAGCCGTTGTTGTTTGAAGGCCGTGTTATCCGGCCTCCGGCTCTTGGCGGCGCCCCCGGGGGCACCCGGGGGCCCCCCGTCCACTTCGTCCTTCGCGTTATAGTTCATCGCCATCGGCCCCCAGGGTGCGGCTCAGCGACGCGCAGGTGGATCGCCGAAGAGACCCGCCTGCTGACCCGGACCAGAGACGCGCAGGCGCCGCCGCCGCCGTCGCCGCCGCCGCCGTCGCCACCTCCGCTGTTGGGGCGGAAGAGGCGGAGCCCCCTTCCGCAAGCTCCCGCCAACCGGAAGCGGGAGCCGGCTGGAGCCGTCCAGGGTACCGAGAGAGGAAGGTAGGAGGAGACTGAGGGACGGGGGAGGGGAAAGGGGAAGAGGAGAGAAGGGGGAGAGAAAAGGCGGACGCATCCGGATCATCGGCCCTGTGACGACAAAGTGAGCGGCTCAGCCCACGGAGCGTGGAGCTACGTTGGCGCATGCGCGGCTCTAGGGCTTCAGCGCCCTGCGTGCTGGCGCCATAGATGCGTCTTGGCGCCGCCGTTTGTTCGTACCCGCTTGGCTGCCGCCGTGCGCCTCACGTTCGCGTGCGCAGGCGTGACGCCCAGCCGGAACCACCCCGTCAGCCTCGGAGCTGCTGACGAAGCGTGTTGTCCTGGTGGTTTCAACGCCAACCTGGTTCTTCTTACTCTAGGCCTGTTCTGAAAGGGTCGATTTTAAAAGGCCACACCAAGGCTCTTGAGCTTGGTGGGATTGTTAGTATTGGGGATATAAAACCGTGACTTTCGCGAAATGTAAGATTGAGGTGCATAACGGGTTATCATTTTGACTTAAAATGTGGAATAATGTGACTGGTTATTACCTTGTCTCCGATTGAGCGATCTTCATCTTTTACCTCCCCCCACTTTGCGTCAGCGTTTCTGTTTTGCACATTGATATTTTAAATATTTTATTAAGTGGTACCTGTTTCTAGATTGTTGGTAATAAAAAACCTCAAAATATGGTATTACAATGAAATGAGATACTATGCTGCAGATTAAAACTCAGGTATGTAATCACCCAAGTAAATTATCATAACATAAATTAGGATACCAAAGTTGTACAGGTAGTGCAGACAGAAACAAAAACTCACTGCCATCGAGTCGATACCGACTTCAGGAAGGACGGGTAGAACTGCCCCAGTGAGTTTCTCAGACTGTACCTTTCCGGGAGCGCAAAGCTCGTCTTTCTCCCCTACAGATTATAGAGCCCAACTGAAAAGTAAGCAGTGGTAGCCTCTGTTGAGAGAATGGAGAGTTTCCCTTCTTTGTAGTGTTCAAAATTTCTATAAGAAGCCTATGATAACAGGAGGGACTATTATACATATATTATACATATATGATCTACATTTAAAATCCAGGCTGGATCTGTGATTGCATTATCTGGAAGCGAAGGTTCAATTTTTTTAAAAAAGTAAGCTTTGTACAGTTAAGTCTTTTGAAAGGAAAATCAAGGAAAGGTGTTGGATTACCATAGTTGGTATCTCCCACACACACCCCACACCCCCTAACCCCTCCCAGTGATCACAAGTCACAAGGTTATAAACCAACTGATTATTTATTTGGCAAATTCTAGAGTGCCATGCTTGACACTTTGTACTGACCGTGCTTGGTTTTGCTCTTACACGATCTACGTAATTGCTCCAATTCTTGTCACGGGTAGCATGTGGTCCTGAGTCCATCAGAGCAATATGAAGAAATGTTGTTCCATCCTGCACCATGCTCACAGTTGTTTGCTTTGCTTGATCCCACTGTTGTAGCCACTGTGTCAATTCATCTCATTGAGGAGCTTCTCTTTCTCTGACCCTCACCCAAGTGTGATGTCCTTTTCACGAATTAGTCCCTCCTTAACCCAATGCCCAAGTAAGGCAAAGTCTTGCCATCCATGCATCTGAAGAGCATCTGTCTACTTGTTCCAAGAGAAATTTTCGCATTCTTCTGGCAATCCAACACCATAATTCAAGTAAAACTTTTTACGTCTCTTACTCTGTCTAGCACTCACAGCCATATGAGGTGATGGGTAGAATATTTAGGTCTATGTTTTGTTTGATCTATGTAAGTTTACTTTTAACTTCAAGCCCAAATGAAAAACAATGCAGTACAGTTGATAGAGGGGTCAGAGAATCCTTTTATTTTGCTAAATTCTATTGACTAGTAAAAATTCATATAATATTGGACAATGTAAAATTATAGTGCATAACGCAAGTTTTCGCTCCATTTCTGCCTGTCATTACACCCACTAAATGATATAGTTCTGTAGATGTCTTGTCAGTCTTTTTGTACTCTTGTATTGAATGATAATTGACCTGTTTCCTTCTTTAGCTTCGTTTGTTCAGAAGCAATAGAGTTAATGTGACTTTTTCTTTCTCATTAGAAATCCCATTTTTACTGGAACATAGACTTACATAAAGACTTCCGTAGACTTTTGTCTTGACATTTTCATTTTCAGATGAGAGCTGAACAGATAAAGTTACTTTCCCAAATCTATCGCTTTCCCTCTGGTTCCTTTCCACTGTTCTACCACCATACTATGATGCTTTGCTCTGCTTTTGCTTTCTTTTACTGCTACATCCTTATCTCAGGTGACTCGTACTTTTGTGATTCCCCTGGTCACACATTATTTTATGATATTCCTCCTAGATAATTCTTAAAGTGCTGGGCATTTCTGAGACAACAAAAGAAAATGGTCATTCTTGCAGTGGAATATCAGTATATGCATTTTCAAACTAGTCCCTCAGTGACTGAGGTTTGTGAATGTGTATGCCCAAAGGACACATTTAGTTTCCAGGTATGTTATTTAAATAATTGCTGATGTGTTGATTACTGGTAAAAATGGAATATATGTGGCTAAATTACATTTATAATGAGGTTAACGTATTAAATGTGTAAAGAATGAATGAGCTGAATATAGAAGTAAATCCAAATGGATAGAATGGATGCAAACTCAACCATCTGAAAAGGTATATGTATTTAGCTCTAGAGATTTGCATTTATTATTTCAATAGTTTTGTTCAAGCCACATAACTAACTAAAGGAATCTTTAGAAGGAAATACCGAATACTATAAGCCACGAAGAGTAACTACAGAAAGACTGAAGAACTAGCAAGAGGAGTCTGAAACTGACATTTGTCTATTTTAGGCTCCAATGATGGTTGGGTAACACTTGGCTATGGCTTAGCATTCAAAGCATCCCTAATTATATTTAGACTAGTTCATATTTGTAGCATGTTTAAGAAAGCTGAAAAGGACTTTTAAAAGTGCCATAATTTGCTACTGGTATCAATTTAAGAGAAACTTTTTAGTGACTGAAAATAGTTTCCCAACAATGGATATACTTATTCTTGTGTCTGTTTGCAGCCAAAAAACCAAAACCTTTTTCCCCAAAGTCAAATAATCTGTCAGATTGCCTTGGAAAACTTTGGTGGGACTAAATGTATTCATTTTTAGTTATTTGAGGATTCTTAAGAGAGTGATAGCAGAGTTTCATAAGAAACATTCACCTCATATCTATTCTATCAGAGACTGATTCAAACTTATTTAGAAAAAATAATTCTTTTTAAACTTTTTATATAATCTATTTATTGAATTCTTTCCATTAAGCATTTAAGAAAATCCCTTTCTTCTTACCTAGAGATTGTTTAATTAGCCTAAGGTAGTACTGCTGATTTCATGAGTGATGTTGTAAGGGTTTAAGTAACCATAGCCAGTGTCCGAAGCACAAGTCAAACAAGATGCTTTCATGGTAAGTCTCCTTAGAAGAAAGGCAAGGACATCAAAGGCCATAGAAGAGAACCTAAGAAAGTTGTTTTGAGCGAAACGAGATTCCCGTTCTCATTACTCCATAGTTTCACTGACAGTAAGAATGTAATTCCACAGAGACCTCAGAGGTCCCTATGCTTCCTTCCTAGAACACTTAGTTCTGGATACCCCTGTGTCGTATGTTTGCGAGATGTCCCCTCGGTTATTTCCTTCAGTATATGTAGCCATCTTTAGGTTGGCAGCCACGTGACATGTTACAGATATAGTGAAATTTTAAAATGTTTAAAGCGAGTGGGACAGGAAGGACAATATGCTCATTCTCTGAGAATCATAAACACAAAAAGAAAATAGATCTAAAAATATGTAAATCTTTTATAGATCACATGGTTGGACTATTTTTATACTTTTAACTTACATTTTTCTGTTTCCAAGTTTATATTATTAGGAGTCCTAAGGGCCAGGGCAGAGAGAGTGGGGGTTATTTTTTTTTTAAGCAGTTTGGTAATCTACCTATGAAGTTAATTATTTTCTTAAAATAAATCCAACATATTTTTGAAGGTCAGCCCTCACAAAATAGACTTAGATGTGACGTTTGTTGAGCCTTAGAAGTGAAACATACTTTCTAGTTATTGGAACTAATCATTTTTGACAACCGCGACCTCTCAGGACTTCCCTCTGACCAGCACACAGTGAGGCTCAAGGTGGAAGTTCAACAAATTTTCACAGATTCTTTTCTATTGTCACTGAGCCTTCTGGAAAGAATAATCTGAACTAACCTCATGCCCTTATCCCAATCTCTTACCAACCCACTGCTTCCTGACTCGGACACCACCTCTAATGAAACTGCCTTATTAATTTCCACTCAATCTTCCAAGATTCAGCAAAGCATACACATTGAACTTGTTCTGTTCCTTCAGGCTAAAAGCCGCTCTCTGAGATCAGCAACTTACCATATAGCATTAAAAAAAAATACCTGTTTACATCTGTCTTTCCTACTCAATACAATATCCTCAAGGTCAGAATTGGTTTTATTTACTTCTATTTCTCCAAAAACCTGCAGATTGCCTCAAACATAAAAGATATTTAATTTTGCTGACCGGACCTACTCTTAATGAACTCACATTTTAGTGGGAAAGACAACTTGCCAACAAACAGTTGAAATGTAATGAGGTCAGTGTCATAAGATGTATGAACAAGGTAGGCACTCAGAGGAGGTGATCACATACCACTTACTCATCCTCTATGATGTCAAACTGTGAACTGTGAGGAAATGAGTCCTAAAGTCTGAGTGGTATTGTGGTTCACAGCAGAGAATACAATACAAAATAAGAAACAGAGAAAGTTGAATCTTATACTATTACATTTTATTAATGCCTTGCAAGACAATATATCCTTTGTGAGCCAAAGAACTTGATCATGTTCTTTTTCTCAAGCAAGATCTCAACAGTGTACAGGTGTCCCAGTACCCTCCATTTCTAAGATTTAGTTTATTAATTTATAAAAGTTAATTGTATTACCTCCTTGTTGAACCAAAACTTGGCTTCATGGTAAAGGGGAAATGAATGATGTCTTGTTAATGTAGCATAGATCATCTGATTGATAACATAGGGACCTTTTGTTTTTGGAGAAAGCCTATCTTTCCTTAAAATAATGATTATAGAAAATCTTTTCTTATTTAATATAGAGGATTCCGAAAGGGAAGACTACTAGACTACCCTGGCTAAGATTTTGTTGTTGTTGGGTGCTATTCCGACTGATAGTATCCCTGTGGACCACACAGGGAAACACTGCAGGTCCCTCATGATCTCCACAATTGTTGTCATGTGTGAGTCCATTGTTGTGGTCATTGTGTCATTTCATCTCATCTTCCCCTTTTTCAGTACCATCTCTCTTACCAAGCATGATGCCACTTTCCAGGGAATGGTCTCTCCTGAGAGTGTCCAAAGTATATGAGATGAATTCTCACCATCCTCACTTCTGAGGAGCATGCTGGCTCTATTTCTTCCAAGCCAGATTTGTTTGTTTTCCTGGTAACCTATGGTACTTTCAGTGTCATCATACAAATACATTAATAATTGAGGCAAAAGGCAGGAAAATGCTCCTTAGAGAAGGAACAATATTGTCTCAAAGATACTTATCTTGAAGTATTGGTGATTATAGAACAACTGGTTATCTTACAGAGAGCGAATGAAAATAAAGAAGCGAAAGAGGAAGGATTATCTGGGAGCCCCAATGGCACTGTGGGTTGTTAGGCATTGGGCTGTCAACCAAAAGTTCAAATCCAGAGGTGTGCGATGGAAGAAAGGTGAGGCTACTGGCTCCTTTGAAGAGTCATAGTCTCAGAAACTATTTAGGGTCATTTATGAGTCCAGAGCAACTCAATGACAAGAGATTTGGGTTTCTTGGCAGGGCAGGGTCCTGCTTTTTAACACATTATCTGATGCTTAAGGAGCTGGGTCTGGGGCAGCACAACCAATGAGGCTTGCCCCAGACAGTCCACCTGAATGAAGGTCTCAGCATTGACAGCTTTCATCGGTTCAGAAGTGGATTTTAATGACACTCCCCTCAAAGAACGATTGTGGTGCAATGTGTCCTACCATTAATAAGCAACTGGGCCCAGGAACATGGCTTTGGGTTCCCAACCTGTTGCTCATTCAGGGTGACTCTATCCCAGAGCTAAAGGAGACTAAGGTGGGAAAAATCCATTTCTCCTCCCACTCCTTTCTGAGAAAGCCCGCAGTCAGCTAGCTGCTGGAGCGGAAAGGCTGGGAGATGCTCCAATGCCTTGGTTTTAAAGAACCAAGTTAAGATACTTAATTCCTTTGCAGTATTTATGAACATGGTCTCAGTCCCCTAGGGATCAAACCAATAGCTTTCAATTAATTTAACAATAGTCAAGAAAAGACCCAATTGAATAAAGTTCTAAGAGACCCTCAGGGGTGTCTGAAAACCCCCCTTCAAGGACCCCAAACATTACAGGTCTCTTGCAGAGAACACCTTGATTTAGACAATCTTCTTGCCTAATTTTTAGACAGGTTTATCTTTAAATAATAAACAGGAAGAGCCCTCTTCTTTGTTCCAAATAAGGCTAAACCAAGTAAGAGGTAAAGAAGCAACAGGCTGCTGTTCTGCCACAGAGCTGGCAGATAATGGAGCTAGAGCAGGATCCCACCCTTACCGGGGACCCCACTTTGCTGGCACCACTGCCCAACTGCTTTTTCAAAAGCTGGGCTGTGTAAAACTTCTGTAATATTTGCTGTCCTAAGCAATCTACTTTTAGATTGACAGCAGAAATCAGTGTGGGTAATGGCTGAATATTGACTGATAATGCATTTAGTGAGGATAAAGGGACAAATTTTTCATCTTGTGGTGTCTGGTCATTTCCATCGTATTAAATAATCAAGCTCTGATGTAACTCAGGAGAAGTATCCTTCATTTTGGCAGACTCTAAAACAGCCTGATTCTTGGGAGCAGACCCAACTTTATCTGCCTCCAAAATTGCTGTATTGTTATGCACAGTGAATGCTATTTACAGAAATTGATCATCTTAAAGCAGACAATTTTAAATAAACAGGTTGACTACTTTTTTTAAATTATTTTAATTTTACAAAGATTGTTTCAACTCAAAAGAAGAATATTGCACACTGCTTTTATGTTACAATTTTCCTTTTTTTCACTGTCCGGTGAGATCTTAATGAACAGGGTTTTCTTTGGGAGAAGCACAGAGAATGCCGTGATGGTTAAAGTATTTCAGTCATCTGTGTGAACTGGAATCAGCGTGTTACATATGAAAGACAAGTGTGGATCTGGAAGTTCACTTGGTTTCAGTGAAAATGATTTAATCAACTTTTCGTGTAATCAATAAAGCTCAAATGAGACAAAAATTAAGAATGCTGTGAAACTATAATGTCTTTCCAAATTTGCTCAATGCACTATTTGGTTTTGTTTTTTAAATTCACTAAGCCTATAGAGAGTCTAAGAATATATAGTCACCTTGGAAGTGTCTTATATTGAAGAAGCTATTGCCTGATTTTTTTAAAATCTGGATTAAATAAACCTTTATGTGCACTATTGAAAGAGCAAGATTTACAAATTACAAGGCAAAACTCCTCAATATCCAAAAATAACACCAGAAAACAAATGTATCGTGTAATGGTATCCATAACATTTTGTTCATAGTATCTGCAGCATTTTTCCTAGGTAATAAACATGGTTGACGTCACATATTATAGGTATAAGGTGCTGCAATTTTAAGAAAATAAAATATTATGGTCACTAGCCAAGTGATTTTCACCAAGCTCTCCCAATTTCAATAAATTTATCACAACTTTAATTGCTTTTCTTTTTGACATTCTAATTAGCTCTGAGGGCCCAGATGGGGACATACATCATAGGTGTCCTTTGTAAGATTTTTAAATTTCCATTTTGCATGATGGTTATTTTAGATTTGTTGCACATAAAATTCATAAACACACCCTAATTTTGCCATGCTTTAGTTCATTTTCAGGAAAATCCAAACACAGCATGAGGAGAAAGGACACAAGGATATCCCATTGTCTTAGATACCATTTACACCTGTGCTGCCACTGACTTGTAAAAGCTGTGATTCTTCAGTGGTGTTGGTATCCCTGTTAATGCTTAATATTCCACAGTACAACTCAGTTGTTTTGTCTTCCTGGTCATCCCAGGAGACAGTGAATCCTTCACATTTGGGGGACATTCCAGACATTACACCAGGTATTTTTGTTCTATTCGCTATCATTATCAAAATTCAAAATGTTATAAAACATCTGAGAGGAAAAAAACCAAAGACGCCTTCAAAAAGCATTCCTATAAAAGTGAATTGGTGAAACTGGAAACACTGATTATGATTATATTTTTAGAAGTATAGTGTGTCGGGAAACATAATTATTCCACACAAGAAATGATTCTTATTCAGAGATGATTTGAAAATATATTTCAATGCAAGATGTATAAATTACATGAGCCAAGGATGGAATTAAGATTGCATGTAAGGCAGTTTCTTCAACTTCATTGTGGATGTTGGGATATGACTGTTAATTCACTTCTTTGCTCATTCATTGAAGATAGCTACTCAGTTTTTCTGACTTCTACTAGTTGTGCATATTCTATTATTTTGTTTTAAAATTCACCAGTCATCAATCACTCAGATTCCCCTTGGATTTTGACAGAGGTCTTAATTGTAGCTTACACAACAACAAATGCTCACTGTGTGTCAAAACGACTCTGATTGCAACTTCCTTCTCAGCATCTCCCCATCACAAGTATCAAATTTCATTAAGATTTGGGGAAACAACTTCACATTCAAATATATAAATGAGCTGCAATGTCCAAGTCAAGAAGTATTTGAAATCTTGTACTCTTACCTCGTAATAAATGTCCCACCAGTTGAGAAAGAGTTGTCTGCCTAAAAAGCCATCTGTAGTCTTTCAGGATATTGTCCTACCCGAGGTATGCATCTTGGCACATGAGGAACTGAACTAGTCAATAAAACCTTTTCCAATAGCAGATGCCATTGGAGTTCAGTCAACATTTTTCGAAAACAAAACACAGTAACAATAATAAAAAGGTCGTACAGACACTCTCTAGTGAATTCTTAATAACCAAAAGCCTTGCAAGTTATGGGATGTTTTCATAATCACTGATGCTAGGACAAGCCTATTCTAGCATTTCTTTTACTTATAAAAATCCAAAATCTAACATTAAATATCATCGTTTAATTTATAATAATTACTAAATATTATTCCCCAATTCCACAAAGTACACTTAAAAACCTTTTCAGGATACACAGGAAGGCTATCCAGTTCAATTAGAGATTCAGTGTGAATGTGCCTCCATGGGCACAGGGATAACCTATAAACTGGAGAAATAGACCAACACAAGTATTTCTTGTGTGGCCTTTACCCTTGTGATTCCCAAAAACCTTCTTTATTAAATCTCAGCAAAGTTATATGCTTTCTGCATCCAAAAACTGATGGTAACTCTTAATTTGCCTTGGTGGGATCTTTAAAGAGCTATTGGAAGCATGCCCCTTTAAAGGGTTTCAAGTAGACCAGATGCACATTTTCACATAAACCTAAGTTTGAAGCAACTCTTGTGTTGATATTTGAGTAGATGCATCTTGATGGTGGTGGTTGTTTAAGCTTTAAAGAATATATTCTCCAACATTTATGTAGTTATGAAAATCTGCCAAAATCATGGGTATTTTAAAAACATCAATACTAAGAAGGGAAAAATAGAATCTTAGAATATCACTTTGTTTTTAATGCTGACATTCTCTAGATCAGCTTTTAAAATCATATGGGTGAGTTGTGAGAAAATCTTGATGTTACACCTTTACCACCTGTACTTAGAAGTAAATCATATAGAAATATAATTTCAGAATTCTCAGTCTGAAACTGTCTTCAACTATTATGGGATAAACACATCTGCTTTATACATTTATTCCATGTGAAAATCAATTCAGGATTTTGGTGAAAAAAATAAACAGCTTTATAATTTGATTATCAAGGATTTAAAATTAAACTCTTAAATAGACCACTATGTGTCTCTTTTGAACCATGATCAGAAGAATAGCATCATATAAGAAACAGTAAATATTGTCCACATGTTCCTGTTACTAAATTTTGCCCTTTGAATGTACCCTAATGCTATAGAATATTGTACTTCAGAAATAACAAGTTAATTTCTTTTGAGTGCAAAAAAAATTAACATTTTGAAAAATTAACAATGTATTTTACACATATAGGTGCCGTAGACCTAAAAATGAAACATTTTAGGAGGAAACTCACATTACAAAATGTTTATCAAAGTAGCTGACATAGCATGTGCCCAGGGACCTGAAAGCTTTGCAGAAAGAAGAGAAAATTCTTTTGGCACAGAGATGGAATTACTCTCGCCACCTACTTTCATATTATCCACAAAGCCATTGTAAGCTTTTACGTGATATCCTTCTCAATAAATTTCACTGGAAGGAGTGAATTCTTTCCAGTAGTGATCAGTAGCATGGAGGCCTTAATGCTGATGGAGGCCTGGAGCAATACTATCCGTTCAATAGGGATCCAGAGGGAGCACACACACCCAGGATGTACTTGGATTACCATTTCATCGCGAGTTCATATGTAACTGGTGAATAATGATGCTTTCTATAAAGAAAAGAAAGATATGGCATTTTCAATTAAACTGGAACTCAGATTAGTAGTTTTGTGAGGATCAATAACATATTTCAATAAGAAGCCATGATATTAAACAAAAGCAGTTACATGAGCCCAATAGCTTTTCCGGCAGTGCTTTATTTACTAAGGTAACATGTCAGCATATGTGTTTTAGTTCCAAAATTCTGAAAGCCCATCAGAAACTATGCTTGATATGAGGGTAAATCAGAAAGGATTGCCACAAAATAGAATTTGAAAAAGCAAAAAGCATCCAAATGTGAAGCTAATGTTTCTCAACCTATCCGCTGTCTAGTTTCGTACACTTCTGAAGGCAATGTTCCATCTCGCTAGCCCTTCCGTGAAGAATTCTGGGCTCTGATTTACACCGCTGTTTGGACATCTTCAAGGGTCTCAAATTGTGTTCATTTCAAATGCTCTTTGTGTTTGGGGAACAACAATTCGCAGGGGCAGTACTAGTGTTGTAGGGCAGGTGGGATGATTTCCCTCCAACACTGATGTCGAACTGGACAGCCCTTGGCACCCTGAGAGAATGAGCAGTGGATTGCTGTGATGGAAAAGAATTCCAAGTACAACTTTCCTGGCCCTTCTCACAATACAATTTTCAGTTTTCTTAAAACTTCTTCACAATAAGATGCAGTGACCATCAAGGGAATCTACCAAGATTATCTCTGTAGAATAATGTTAAAAAGCCACCATAGCTATCTCGAGTTGACCTATCTGCGTTGAACTTACTTGATCCAATAGGTCCCGCAGAAGTCACTGTTTGGCTCGGGCCTCCTTTGAAGGTACCCGAATGAGACTGAGATGAGCGTATGCCTGAGAGAACTAGTCAGCGGCCATCCAAGATCTCAGAACTATTGCAACACATTTTCTTTAGAATAAAGTCATGCATACATGAACTGGGCTTTTAGTAGCAATGTTTTCCACCATATTCTAACAATATTAAGTCTTTTTTTTTTACCCAAGGAAAGAACTGAACACAATGATAGGAATCCTTCACTGTAGTCCCCTAGTGTGACACTAGACTACTTCCTAGAAGTACCACTATTCGCCAGGTGGCATTCTTTCTGTTCAGAAACATATTTATACTCTTAATATCTTATTTTGTGCATATGGATTCAAGTCTTAATAGGAATTTTGCCATGACTTATCCTTAAGAACTCAATAAGCCGAGAAGGTTTACTTTTTCCTCTGACTGAATCTTCTCTGCCAGTGCCAACTCTACATAGTGTTTAAACTTAAATTTATTTTTATAAAAGTACAATTAAAAATATATCAAAATTGTCCTTACAGTTACACCAGGCACATTATAGATGTTTAATGTTTATCTGATAGAGCTTATATTTATATTAACCTTTATTAATCCATGACATGTATCTTAATCGTTTTCCATTTGATCATTCAAGCATAATTTTTTGCAGCCTTGCTAATCACCAGTCACCATGGTAGGCATGGAATAACAATGGGGAGATGAAAGACAATAACTAAACCTTAAACAGTTTTTCTTCCTGAAAAAATATACTACTTCCCTGCCAAAACATGGTAATGAGGTGAACGGATACATTGGGTGGTATAAGATTCTGCAAATATATATAAACTAATAATAATAAATTATATAATAAGGGTTCCTGGGGTATAGGGTGGGGGTGAGAGAGGTTAAAGGGGAACTGATATCAAAGAGTTCAATAAGAAAGAAAATGTTTTGGAACTGATGGTAGCAATTGTACAATTATGCTTGATCTAACTGAATTATGGACTATTACAGTATCTGTACGAGCTCCCAATGAAATGAATTTTTATAAGCATAGCAATGTTATACCAGTGAGTACAGAAACATACATCAGCATTTACTAATAGTGTGGCAACCATAGAGCCGGCCCCACCACAGGACACAATGTCCCTCACTGACCCTTAGCGCTATGGGGGACAACACTGGAGACTGTGGGAATTGTGCCCGATCTGACCCCAACACACCAGGGCGAAACACTAGGGGCATGCAACAGAGCAGCAAGGAGAGCAAAGCAATGAAGTCCCTGGGGAATACCAAAACTAGACTTTGGGGCCTGGGCGTGGCACCCCATCAGACTTGACCAGAAAACACTCCTAAACAGACTGGAACTATTTATAGGCTTTTCTTTTCTTGTTGTTGTTTTGCTTTGTTGCTTTGTCTTGGTTTTGTGCTTATTATTGTCTCTGCATGTTTATTTAAATAAGATAGG